CATGGGGCCCCTGTGTCCTTGCCTAAACTCAAAAAAGCCTATGAAAAAGGTACCAGGGGCATCTCATGGGGCCCCCTACTGACCCCGGGCTCTCGGGCAGTGCCCGAGTTTCCAAATGGTCAGTCCGCCCCTGTCTACAATACATATAATTGAAAGATTCTGACAATCTGGAAAAATCTATGTACGCAAGGGACAAGGCTGATATGAAATATTGGATGCCCATTATCTTCACATGACAACACAGAAGGAGAAGTCAATAAAATGTTTCTGAGAAAGACTGTCTGAACTGGAGTACAGCAGCTCATTTTCATTTTCTAAGCTGTGCGGAAAAAATGCAAGACAGAAACTGATTGCTTGCTGTGGGCAAAGGTGCCAGTTGAGATAGAACTCCCCTTTGCACAGACAGACAGTACAGGAGGTTATGAACTCACAAAACTTCTGTCAAAATCCACAGGTACTTTTTAACACTTATCAAACAGATATAACAGTCTTCAATGGTATTTTTAGCAGACCAAAGTTCTAAGAAGTCCGAAAAGTAAATAAGAGAAGCTCATTGTGAGGGTTTACATGCATTTTAAATGACAGTGGTACATTCTGGTACCTTCCACCAAACTTGCATTTGTTTCCTTTGGCCAGCTCAAATGGAATTTTAACTTATAATGACTCCTACAAATATTTGAATCACTACCATTGGATGTACAATTTAATCCACTTGAAATTTCACCAAAAAAAACAGGTGATGTTCAAATACCACTTGCTACAAACAGCAGCATGTAAGCCTTGCGAACAGACTCAGGCATTTTCAGCCAAATCTCTGCCACGGCGTTTTGCAGTGTAATAATCCTCTTGATGAGGGGTTCATCTTACTACATAATACAGCATAATGACCCAAACACACTTTCAGGCTCCATGTCAGAATTACCTTAAAGCGGAGTTCCAGTCACTCTGTAAAAAAATAAAAGTCAGCAGCTACAAAAACTGTAGCTGCTGACTTTTAAAAAAAACGCCGCTCACCTGTCCCATGATCCCGCGTTGCAGTTTCACCAGCCGTCCTGTATTCCAGGATCCAGCATCTTCAGTGTGGGCACCCGGCTGTGACAGCTTGCGGCTTCACAGCCGGGTGCCCACTGCGCATGCGTGAGTAGCCCCGTCGTCTTCTGGGACCTGTCATGTGTCCCACAAGACTACGGGGAGGGAGGGGGGAGGACAACTTCCACTTCCGATTGCCTAGGCGATCGCAGCGGAAGCGGGAGCGGGTACCTGTCAAATTTGGGTACCCTTCCGCCCCCTGCTCCCCAAAAGGTGCCAATCCTTAATGGGGAGCGGGGGACCAATCTTTAAAGCAGAATTTCCCCTTTTGGGTGGAACTAGAAAATAAAAAAAAAAAGATGGTAAGTTGTGGATTAACTAGACCAGTGGGTGGGCAATAGCAACAAAATTTCACACCTGCACCCAAAAGTTTTGTTTCTGCTTCATATTTTGCACCGTATTGCAATGTACATTGAAGAAGGTGGAGTACATTAACCCACAGCATTAGTGTTAGTGAATGCAATAATAATCCCCGACATTGATGTCAGCAAATGCAAAAATAACCCCCAGCTATGGTGTCAGTGAGTGCAATATCCCTTCTCTCATGATTGGTGTTAGTGGATGCAACCATAACCTCCTACATTGGTGTTCATGGACACATTAACTCCCAGCATTGGTTTCAGTGAGTGCAGTAACAACCCCAAGCATTGGTGTCAGTGGATACAATATTAACCCCCCCAGCATCAGTGTCAGTGGAAGCAATTATAACCCCCAACATTGCTGTCAGTGGACGCAATAATATCCCCTGATATTGATGTTACTGGATGCAATAATAAACACCAGCATTGGTGTCAGTGTGTGCAAAAATACCCCCTGCATTGGTGTAAGTGGATGTAATAATAATCCCCAACACTGGTGTCAGTGGACGAAATAATAATGCCCAACATTGGTGCCAGCAAGAGCAATTAACAGCCCCCAGCATTGGTGTCTGTGGACTCAACAATAGCCCCTAGCAATGTTGTCAGTATTATTAGCCCCCCCCCCCCCTTTGGTGATCATACCAGTAAAATTACACAGAAGAGAGGGCAAGGAAAGCAGCCTACAATAGCAACACATTTGTGGAAACTTCTACAACAGCACTGGGAAGAGCTTTCCTGACAATCCTTTTTTTCTTTCTTTGCAGAAAGAATGCCATAAGTGTGGCCTCTTTGAGGAGTCAAAAATTAAATTTTTCGCAAAACAAAACAGTTCCATGATTTATTTTTATCTCTGAATTGTTATTTTTCATATGCACTACTTTCAGACAGACAATAAGCAGGACAGGTATAGATTAGTACATCTCAATAAATAATAAAAAAATTGGCTTTGGTGTAAAAATTGGTTTGTGTGTGTAAATATATATATACATATATATATATATATACACAAACATACATATATACACACACACATGTATATGTTTGAGAGACAAAGTACTGTAAATTTTTTAAATATGCTTTTGCCCCTCAATCTGTGTTTGTATATGTTTTTGTTTTGGGAAGAACAAGCCCCTACAGTTTGTCAATAGAATAAATCATGTAACGGAAAAGTACCCATACCTTAAATTACTTACCACCAGTTGTATCAAAATTTGGAATGCCATGAAGAACAACATAATGCAAATATACTGGGACTGTGTTCATTTTCTGCACTCCAGAAAGTAGTTCATTCAGAAAATTGACATACCTATGTAAAAAAAGAGAAACCAAGAATATCTCTATTGTAATGCAAGATAATAAGTGAAGTAATGTATTATGTTACCGCCAAGCAGTATCTTTCATTATGCAAACACACAATAAGAATCTATTTGCAGCATAGCATGTAGCGAGCAAGTTAGCAGCAAACATGGCACTTTGAGTACAGGTGAAATTGATGGCAAAATAGAGTCTGATAAAAAAGATAACACATAACATCATTGTAAACTCCACTGTGAAGCAGATATCAGGAAATCAATCACATTTAGGAAATCATGCACGGTTTACCTATAAGACACTTCAAGGAAAGCTGAGAGTTCTAGCATGTGGTTTGTGGTGTACTGATTTGTTTTTTTTTTCATCAAAGTCAAGTGATTTGTGCTACAGCGGAAATGGACATTGGCAATAAAAAGGTCGTTGCCGGCATAGGGTAACCCTGTCGACAACCATCTTTTCGAAAGTTGACCATAGGCGAGTCCATTTTTAGTTGTTCAACCAGCAGGTTGAATTAAAATAAACTGACCCGATTCGCCCATTCACACATTCAAGGTGGATGAGGGATATCATCCCCGCTGTGCCTTTGTTTTCTGACAGCAGGAAGACTTCCCTGCCGTTCCAATACAATAATCGGTACTGCGGGCTATAGCCTGCGGCACGGCTTAAGTGGAAAATTTCCATTAGACAGACTGCACAGAAGTCGACTGGTAGATCATCTTCTATTCAAATACAGTGCCCATGCATCGATCGAAATTCAGCTGGTTCCTGCTGAACCAACCAAATTTGTTTCCATGTAGGGTCAGCTTATGTTCTGTAACAAAGTAGTACCAAGAGCATTTAAAAATACACTAAGAGGAGGGATATTTTCTCGCTCATTGAAGGAATGTATGGACATCCATAAGCAATCCAACAGAGGAATGAACAACTAAAAGGACAAAGGAAAACTGGGTCAGAGCAGCCTTAAGAAGCTGAAGCCTGAAACCGGCATATGAGGTCTGAATATTCACCAAATAAAACTTAAAGTGTTACTAAACCCAGGACCCTGCATTCACTATATCTGCTCTCCCACAGTACACAGAACATGGAAATGCAATAATTTTAGTAAATATAAACTGCTAAATACCTTTTCTCATCAGCAGTTAGAGCAGTCTTGTGACTTCAGCAGAGCACTGGTTAAAGCATGTAGGAGGAGTTTTTTTTCTGCTCTAGGAGGATGTGAAACCCCTGACCTCTGTGTGGACAGTGCTGATTGGCCCTGTGCTGATCACATGCACTCTCCCAATAAAAAAAAAAACCTCTCTAGCAATACACACTAAACTGAGCATGTGGCTAAAGGTTTAGTCTGTCTTATCAAGTGGACATTTGAACAAGCGGAGGGGTGGAGAAATCAGGATCAAACAGACTTTTTACACAATGCAGAGGATTAACCCCTTAGGTTCCATAGTGAGTATAACAAGCATGCTTTACTGCATACAGAGACTGATTTTACTGTTGTGGGTTTAGTAACACTTTAAAGTAGAACTAAAGGCAAAACTTTTTTTTACTTTTTGGATACAGTAAAGAAACTGTTATAACTCCATCAGGGTTTTTTTTTTTTTTTTGTAACATCTCTGTTCCACTGGGGAGATTTCCCCATCACTTCCTATCCCATAGCTAAAACAGGACATGAGTGGAAATTGCTCCATGTGAGTGAATCACTGGTTGTCACCAGGGTCACCAGAATTCGTGTCGCCATCGGAAGACTTCCAGCGTTTTCTGTGTGAATTCTGCACCGCATCAGAATTGCAGCCCATTCATGCGAACCGCTGCGGGTGTGTATGTTAACAACACCCCGAAATCGGTCCGCAAAATGCGGTGCGATGTGCAGAATCGGATCGCATAGGTGTGAATACTCATGCGATACGATTCTAGTGCGGACCCAAAAATGGGTCCTGCACTTTTTTGGTGCTGGGGCAGTGCAATTGGAGCCATACAGAATGTATGGGTCCAATTGCACCGCTCACAAATCGCATGTGATTTGCACAGGTGCGGTTCCTGTGCAAATCACATGTGATGTACTGCGGTGCGGTTCCTGTGCATATCACATGCAATGTACTGCACCACATTAATGTGAACCTAGCCGTCCAATCACAGCTGATCACATGTAAACAGGGAAATGCCAGTTAATCGGCATTTCTCTCCCCACTAGCTGATAGCTCGTGAGGTGAGGAGAGCCGGTAATCGGCATTCCTCGGAGGGGACATGTACACAGATCATCAGAGTACTGATGATCAGTGTGCCCTGATGATCTGTGTAGCCCCAGCAGCGCCACCTGTCAGTGTCCATCAATGCCAGCTCTCAGTGCTCATCAATGCCACATACCAGTGCACATCTGAGCTGCCTTTCAGTGTCACCCATCAGTGCCAGTCAGTGCCACCTATCAGTGCTAGTCAGTGCCGCCAGTGCTAGTCAGTGCCGTCAGTGCTGCCTATCAGTGCCACCTAACAGTGCCAGTCAGTGCCACCTAACAGTGCCGCATATCAGTGCCATATATGAGCGCTGCCTTTCAGTGCCCATCATTGATGCCTGTCAATGCCAATTAGTGCCACCTACCAGTGCCTCCTATCAGTGTCCATCAATGCAGCCTATCAGTGTCCATCAATGCAACCTATCAGTGCCCATCACTGCAGCCTCATTAGCGCACATCAGTGAAGGAGAAAAATCACTTATTTACAAAATGTTATAACAAAAACTAAGAAAAAACATTTTTTTTCAAAATTTTCAGTGGTTTTTGGTTTGTTTAAGAAAAAATAAAAAACCCAGAGGTGATTAAATACCACCAAAATAAAGCTCTACCTGTCACAAAAAAATGATAAACATTTCATATGGGTACAGTGTTGCATGACCGCGCAATTGTCATTCAAAGTGCAACAGCGCTGAAAGCTGGAAACTGGCCTGGGCAGGAAGGGGGTATAAGTGCCCTGTAGGCGAGGGGTTAAAATGACTGGAAACAACACTGTTCTATATAGCAATGGAAACAAAATCAATTTTTCCTTCCAAATTCACAAAAATTGATTAAAAATGGACAAAAAACGCCAGTGCTCTTGGCAGGAAGAAAAAAGAATAAAAAAAAAATAATAATTTTTAGCATTTTTTTTGTACTATTGCTGAGCAGCATTGTAGTGTTTTTCTCCCAGAAAAATGCTCTCAAAAATGCAAAAGAGAAGGGTTGAGCTTAAAAACCACCTCTAGACTACCTAATGTGCATGGACACATAGGATAACATTGGTTGCTGCTACAGGCAAAGCACTAAACTTTTCCAGGAGCATTGTTTTTTTAAGCCAGTGGCCATGGAGCCTTAGGCCTCATTCACATCATATATGCAGAAAAACTGATGGAAACTGACATGCAGATTTCACTTGCAGAGACACAAGTTTACATCAGTTTTCATGTGCTGTGAGTTTTATACACGTTGCAGATTCCTGCGCAGAAAAAATCTGCACAATAGTAGCGTTGTGGTGCGAACAGGGCACATAGAGAACAATTGTTTTTTTTTTTTGTGCCCTTGCAGAACGCGTGCTGAAAAACTCACATCTCTGCACATGGTGTGAACGAGGCCTAAGGCTGCTGTTGAAATTGCCACCAATAACATGAAAGCACTTTAAATCCTTTATCAGGTAAGACGAACCGTAGACAAATAAATATATAACCTCCTCCACTACAATCCCCTCAAAAAGTTACATTTTCTCCATAGAAAGTTCACTAATAATATAACCTTTTTGTAATATACCATAAAATGTATGTTTTTCACGAATTTTCTAGCATGCCCGATAAACGAAATGGGGAGGAACCATGAAAATCGTCCAGTGCCATTGACCCACTAACAGAGCGAAAATCGACCGATTATTCTTAGGTCCGATTTTCGAACAAAAAATTGTTAAAAAATAGACCCATGTATGGCCGGCCTTATACAATTACCATGTTACTCTTTCATTAGATGATGTGCAGTAACCCCCAAAAAAAGAGGCCCAAAGGGTTATTGCACACTTCAGAATGTACCACATTTGCAACAAACCACATTTATGCATTAATAAAAGTTCACTTAAAACCCAAACTTTTTTAATTCAGATCAGTTTAGAGAATGGTTAAAATCACTGTCAAGTTTTTTGGGTTTTTTTTTGCTTTCAGGAACTTCTCAATTCCTGTTTCCAAAACATAACAGGAAGTGAGACTAAAATTGTACAAAATAAGAGGAAATTCTCTCTTGGTTGTCCCTGAAACAGATGTCCTCACTGGAATGTATCCTCCTCTATTTGAACACCGGTAAAATGTTGGTTCTCTCATCACTTTTGTGTCCCAGGGACAGTTGGGGCTCATTCACACTTGACTGTTTTACCAACGCTTGCAAACGCCCCTATAGCATTTGGCAAGCGTTGGTCCGCAACTGCATTCGCGGTTTAGCGGCGGTGTTACCGCTCTGCAACCGCACCACAAACACCGGGCGTTTGCGGAGCGGCACCATAGACTAGAATAGGAGGCTTCAACGCCTCCTGACTCGACCAGAGGCGTCCGTTTTGCCGTGACGCTAACGCTCCCGTTAGAACAGCACCATGTGCTGCAACGTGCAGAATTGTCCCAGGCGTTTGGGAAGCGGTAAAAACGCTTCCCAAACGCCTCTTTGCCGCCTGCACACAGCGCTAGTGTGAACGTAGCCCTTACTGGATAAATGGAGAAGGAACCTGGCAGCAATTAAAACCTGACGGGTAGGGGGGATTCAACTCTTCCCCAAAATTATGTGTAGATACACTTTTTTACTAATTATGTGGCAACAGCTGATAACTTATTATGTTCAATGCCAAACTGTGTATCTCTTTTTACCACTTGCCCTGCAGAGGATTTACCCCCCTTCCTGACCAGCCAATTTTTTGCTACACGGCACTGCGTTACTTTAACTAACAATTGCGTGGTCATGCAACGATGCACCCAAATGATATTTATGTCCTTTTTTCCCACAAATGGAGCTTTCTTTCTGTGGTAATTGATCACCTCTGCGTTGTTTATTTTTTGCGCTATAAAAAAAAAAAAAAAGACTGCCAATTTTGAAAAAGAAAAAAAAAAAACAATATTTTTGACATTTTGCTATAAAACATATCCAGCAAAAACGTTTTTAAAAAATCTAATTTCTTCATAAATTTAGGCCAAAATATATTCTGCTACATGCCTGTTAAAGGATTTCCCAATACATGTAAATTAATGGGTTTACGTTAAAGTTATAGCATCTACAAATGGCGATATATATACTGGAATTTTTATTTATTTTTTTTTATACTAGTAATGGCTGCGATCAGAAACTTATAGCTGGGACTGTGGGGGGCATTCTGACACTGGGTGGGAACTAACTGCCACTGACATCCCCAGTGGCACTAATACAGTGATCAGTGCTAATAAAAAGCACTGACACTGTACTAATGGCACTGAGCAAGAAGGGGTTAAGATCTGGAGCGATCAAAGGGTTAACTGTTTGCTGCAAAGTAATACAAAGCAGCATGTCGGTGCTGACAGGGGAGAGATCTGTGTTGTTTACATACAGACCTCTCCCCTTTCACTGTTCCTCTGCGATTGGCGGGTGCCAGCGGGGAATCTCCGGCTGGGACCCTGCGATCGACAGCTGTAGCCAGCAATGGCGGCATGGGTAGCACGGCGTGCACGTGCGCCCCCTACCCACAAGTGTAAACTAAGGTATATATACGTGATTTTGCACGGCCCTGCCACCCTGTAGCAGTATTTCTGCTATAGGGCAGCGGGGAGCTGGTTAATTCAGTATAAATACAGGCTGAATTTTTATATCCTCATAAAAAAAGAACCTACCTTTTCTGGGAAGGTTGCATCAATACTGACACTTTATCATCAAAAAATTTCTTCATTGCAAAGCGATCAAGAGCTTGGTCAGCCCTGAGAAAAAGGAATAAATGATAACTACATAAGTTTATGAATAATAAATTCCGAATCAAACCAAAGAGTTACCAGAAAACTACATGTATGCAGCATGAGAGGGCAAATCTCCTGGTGTGCCTCTGTATTGTGACATATGGCCCCCTCAGTTGTAAGAATACCCAAACATCAGCTGTATCTGATTGAATGTAGTCGCTTTTCAGACAACAATGTTTTTACCTGATTCCATCCATTTTTCAATCTGAGGAACCAGCCAAGCGTCATACAGACTCCACCTCCGCAACATCGCCAAAATCCGCACGTTCCTAACCCCAGAAACCACTAAACAGCTCATCCGCTCCCTCATCATATCACGACTCGACTACTGCAACTCCCTCCTCACTGGCCTGCCTCGCCGCTGGCTATCCCCGCTTCAGTCGATCCTGAATACGGCTGCCAGACTCATTCACCTTTCCAACCGCTCCGTTTCCGCCACCCCCCTCTGCCAATCCCTCCACTGGCTTCCGGTTGCACAACGGATCAAATTCAAAATCCTAACACTGACGTACAAAGCCGCCCACCATACTGCCCCGAACGACATCACCGACCTAATATCCAAGTACCACCCAGCACGCACACTCCGCTCCTCACAAGACCTCCTCTCTAGTTCCCTGGTCTCCTCCTCCCATGCCCGCCTCCAGGACTTCTCCAGGGTGTCACCCATCCTCTGGAACTCCCTGCCCCTACCCATCAGATTATCACCTACTCTCCTCTCCTTTAGGCGCACCCTGAAAACCCATCTCTTCAGTGAAGCCTACCCCACCCCCTGCTAACTTGCCGACCTCCTCCACTCTTCCTACCACTCCATCCCCCACAGCTATCTCCTCCTGTACCACTATCCCCTCCCTCCTAGATTGTAAGCTCCAAAGAGCAGGGCCCTCGATTTCCTCATGTTTTGCATTGTATTGGTATTGTTCTGTCACATGTACTGTCCCCCTTTGTAATGTACAGCGCTGAGCGAACTATTGGCGCTTTATAAATACTGTATAATAATAATATAATAATAATACAGTGCAAGTTTACTTTTGCAACCAAACTGGGATATAACACCTACTATATATTGTTATATATTCCTATTAAAATAGCATCGTTTAAAAATCTTTAGAAATTGCTCGTTACCTTTTTTAGCTGCTTTTTACTTGCTGAAAACCCTTACATGCTCCCTCCACTTTGAATGTTTAGAAGGGAGCTGTGGAGTAATGTTTAACATCATTAACCCTGTCTGTACCGTATTTGCAATTCACTATCTGCTGTAAACTAGGTTTGAACACTGTCTGTACTATCAAAAGGTACAAAGACACTTGAGACTGTCCAGAAATTATTAGAATCAGCCATGACACCTTCTCCTTAACCACTTCCCGACCGGCCGTTGTATATAAACGGCCAAACGGTGGCACTGCAGGGTCGGGTGGCCGTTTATAAACAGCCTCCCCGCACCCTGCTTGTGCACGCGATCCGGTGCCCGCTGTGTCCTCCGGACACAGTAAAAACACCGATCGTCGGACGGGACCTCTGTACGAGGTCCCGATCATGTGATCACTGATTGGCCAATCAGTGATCACATGCAAAGTAGTAAGCAAGATGTCACTTGTGACATCATTGCTTACTACGTGTGAAATCTGTGAATGATCACAGAGGTCACATGGTACAAGGCTATTCACAAAAGCCTTGTACCATGTGACAAGCTGTGACCAATCACAGCTCACTCAGTACTTCTCAATGAGTGCAAGAATGCAGACAGAGAGAAAGAGAAAT